CAGCTCCACCACCTACTAGTTGCAAGACACTTAATTTCCTTATTACTCAGGTTCTTTTGAACAGCGCCTTGCACACAGTTTTAGCTGTCATTATGGTTACTTTGGTGATAGCTTCTCTGCTTGAATTGGGAGTAAGAAGTGTGGTGGTTAAAGAAATCCCTAAAACAAAGACAAGGAAAATGACCAATTACAGTGGAGAGGAGAGTGCGATTTAGAACTCCATCTCTGATAAATACACAGCTGGCCTTCTGTACCCACGGGCTCTGTATCCGTGGGTCTGTGTCTGTGGATTCAGTCAACCACAGGTCAAAAATGTGTGGGGAAAAACACGAAAAATAATAATATCACAATAAAAAGTAATACAAATAAAAAACATACAGTATGATAACTATTTACATAGCGTTTATGTTGTGTTTGGCATCATAAGTAGTCTAGAGATGATTTAGAGCATGTGGAAGGATCTGTGCAGGTTATATGTAAATATTACTCCATTTTATATAAGGGGCTTGAGCATCCGTGGATTTGGTACCCGTGGGAGGTCCTGGAAGCAACACCCCTCGGATACCGAAGGACAACTGTGTATCTGTGTGGTGATGGGACTTTTGACGTGGGAGCTAAGCTTCCAAGAAAACAATCACGATGGTTTCTACTTAGCCTTGTTAAGAACAGAATTAAATCAAATTGTTAAGAGATGAGAGTTGAAAGCTAGAGCAGAGGAAACTTAGTTTGAGCTTCAGATTTGATAATCTCACTCTGCTGTAGTGATTCTCACCATGATGACAGATGGAGTTTGAGAAGCAGCCTCTACCTGACATTTTGACACCCCATCCTTTGGGATCCTCTTCCATCTTCCTTCTTGTTTGGCTCCTCCCCCTGTTTGAGTACAGCTAACAGTGAGCCACCACTATCGATAGACGTATGTTTAGTTCGGGAAAATGTGGCTCAGTGACGGACTGTGCAGCGCTGCAGCTGGGTGGTCTCCCCTGGGCTCGAGGGCTCCTGCCTCTTCTTGGGAGCTGTCAGCCCTCAAGCTCCTGCTTTGCCCCACTGGGAAGGCCGCCTCCCCTCTGGCTGTTCTGATCCTTCTGCCCCTTTATTTGTCCTCCGGGAAAGCTCCAGAACTGCTCACTTCCTTTGCAGCCTGTGGTCTCCTTGCAGCCCCCACAGCCTTCAGTTTCATGGCATGCTTTCAAACACTTTTGGCCCATCCCCATTCCCCACTCCCCCATTATTTTGAGTTAATTTTAGGTGAGGGGGGATATCAGCATGTACATTTAAATTACCATCTCAATCTAAATTTCTTTCTTAAAAAAATTAACTTTTAGACTTCTGGTCCAGGAAGCCTTGTGAATTCACACAGAAACATTCTCCTGCCAACTCCAAACTCATGGCATATTTTAAAGTATTAAAATCATGCCGTCATGCTCACAAACAACATATATAACTGCAGGGACTGGCAGTGAGCTGGGGCTGCAGCAGCGTGTTTACTGGGCTGTGGAGTCAGAGCCAGGTTCTCAGCAGTGATCGCAGTTCAGCTCTTGCAGACGAGCGGGGCCCTGACGTGTGGTTGAGGACTGGGGTCAAGCTCGCCATGTGAAAACCGGTTTGGGTGAGGGTGCTCCACGAATGGAGGCTAAAAAAGTGGGTTTTGGAAACCGTCAATATTGAGCTAATGTCTGTGTTAATAGGTTAACAGGAGGGAGTAGAGACGTTGGGCCTTGGGAAAACCAAAGTCTGGGCTTTAGTAACGGAAATGACAGCGTAAATTCATCATGGAAAGGTGGCCGTCGGGAGAGGAAAGAGTAAGCGATCATGTCAACCATAAAATGAGCGCTCCCGGTTAAGACGCGCTTGCAGACTGACAAGTAAACATCGCCGGGAAGCACAGCTGCGCCCGAAGTGGGAGAAAGGGGTGAAATGTGAACTGAGATGAATTTTAAAACAATTACTTTGAAAATTCCTAAAGAGATTAAATCATAAAACACAGACAAGTTGATAGAAACTATTAGAAATCCAAAAAATGTAAGATACAATCCGTGGAAAAAACTTTTAAAAGATTACAAAAGAACTACGTATATATTTTAGAAAGTAGTGATGAGGCAAAAGATCAAAACAGAAATCGTCTGTGATGCCCCACCCAGCAGCATTGTTAATGCATAGTCTTGTTTTTTGTTTTTTTTTGAGACAGAATCTCGCTTTGTTGCCCGGACTACAGTGAGTGCCGTGGTGTCAGCCTAGCTCACAGCAACCTCAAACTCCTGGGCTCAAGCGATCCTTCTGCCTCAGCCTCCCGAGTAGCTGGGACTACAGGCA